CTCAGCAGCCTTTCCTGCACAGGGCAGGGAGCTGGACTCAGTGACCTACTGAGGTCCCTTCTGACCCTAATATCTATGTGAATCTACAATGTAGTGGCTCACCATGACTTGAGTCAGCAGTGAGGGTGACTGCATTCAATGGGCACTACCATCACTTCTTATTCAAATGGGCTGCACTAACCTATTCTTGTGGTAGGCTCTCATCAGCATGTTTGCCCAACAGGAGCCATGTGTTTTATAATTATGCTCAGTGTTGGCTGCATTTAATCAACTTCGTAGTTGGTTTCTGTTGCAGAGCACATGCATCTTTGGGTGGCAGTTTAATGATAAACAATGTATTTAATGAGGTTTCTTTGTATGTGAATGTAAGATGAAGAGCTTCCCCCCCACCCCCCATACTGATGATGAGGTTGGGGATACCTCATTTTGTTTTTGAGCACGTATGGCACTTGTTTTGTATTTTCAGGTTAGCAGTTCACTTTACTTGTTTAATTCTAGACAGCTTTGTTTCTCTTAATTCTATGTTGATAAGTGTAAAAGCGGATCACACTTTTAATTGAACTTGCATTTCAAGCAGTACTTTGTGTTGCTTTTTTTTTTTCTCAAGCCCTTCAGCAACCCCGCTTATTGAAAAACATGGGCCATAGCAGGCAGCCTTCTGATGGTAGTGTTGATAGATTTGCATCAAAAGATGAAGCACTGGAGCCTGGTGATCATGAGAATAAGGTAAAATATGCTTATTCAGTCTGTGCCTTCAAATTAGGTGATTTGTGCTTTGAAAGTTTTAAATGAGGGGTGCACTGATAGGGATTTTGGGAGCCGATACAAATAGCCGATATTTAATGAGGCATATCGGCCGATACTGATCTGATACAGCTGCCATCAGCTGGTAAGTCCAGTGTGGTGGAAGGGGAGGGGTAGTGGCACACCTCTATTTTAAACATACCTCAAACAGAAATGGAAAATCCCTATTATATAGGATACATCAGTAATACAGATATACAGTTCTATGACTACTTCAGCATTTATTTTCTAGCCTAAGAAAAACAAAATACTGGCTGCTTTGGGCAGTCTCTTCCATTGCCTTACTGTTCTATACCAGGGGTTGGCAGCATTTTGGAGAAGGAGGTTGTTTTAACAGAGTTTAGCTCCAAGCATGTGCTCTTTCCACCTTGGCCTAGGTTGCTGAAGCTGGGTTCATAGTCACCAGTCCCCCTGCCCTTGCTCTGTACTACTCTTACTTCTATAACCTCATTGCATTCTTTTTAGTTTACATAATAGTATTTCTAAACTGTATTTTACTTCATAACTTTTGTTTATATTTCACCTTATAAAATATGTAAAACCTGTGTTTTTGCTTTTCTTAATAGCCTTCTAGAATAAAGGGTGACATAGGTCACTACACAGATGGAAATTCTGCTCCTCTTGTTCATTGTGTTCGACTTCTGTCTGCTTCTTTCCTACTTACTGGAGAGAAGGGTGGTAAGTTGTAATGGCTCATTGTCTGCTTTGGTATAGTGAATATAATGTATTATTTTAAGCTCAGCTGATGAAGAACTTTTTCTGCTTTTTCTGGTAGGAGTTTAAATAAAATATGACAACACCTTGGAAAGAGCTTTAAAAAGACTTGGTGGTATATGTCAGGCTATAATTGACTGATACAGTTTCAAATTGCCAGGCTTCTAATTGTTATAATACTGTAAACTCAAATATTTATAAAAATACTCTTCAAAAGAATGGCTCAAGACAACAGTACAATAACCAGTTAATTTTTTTTTTAACTCTTCTCAAGACTGCAACTTTCAGTCTCTAGTCCAGTGATTCTTAACCAGGGCACAACAGCACCCTGGGATGCCTTGAGATCCTTTCAAGGGTGTCACAGGGTATCTTACAATGTTAGTACTGTTAGGTGTGCAAACATGATTCACAAGATAAACCCAGTATTTCAAATAGGAATACATAATGTTAAAAACATTCTGACCCATTGTGGTCTTTCTGAGTTCTTTGCAATGGAAGAATTGCTGTACTATTTTTCTGTAGTCAAAAAGAGTGAAAACTAAGAACTGGCATTTTCCAAAGGGTGTCTCTAGTCTGTCAAGGGGTACCTGAAGTCTAAAAAGGTTGAGAGCCACTGCTTTAGTCCAGACAGAGCTGGCAGACCACATAATACTGGTAGCTTCTTTTTGAGTGATTTTTATATAGTGATCAGCCAGTATATTATACAGATCAAACTGAATACTGGCAAATGTAACTAAGAACCAAAAAGGTGTAGTATGCCTAGCCTGCTGCAGAAGGGGGAAGTGGCATCCTCACTTACAAAGAGGCTTGACTCTTCCTAGGTTCCAGTTAAGCCACCAGCAAAAAAGGGAGTGAAGGGCTACCAAAAATACTATTTCATAGTTGGACTTATTTGCATTTACTTCAGATTTCCATTTTAACAGCTGCTGCAGATATGACAGGGAAGTTACTCAAGCTGTGGGTCATACTATAGAAACTTTTAAAAACACTTAACTTGCATGCATATGTGCAAAAATGCACATGTATGCACATACAAAATAAGTAATTACTTTCCATAATATTAAAGGGGGACCCACTTGCAGAAATCCCAAATTTCTTTTCCGTTACTATGTTATAGTTCCCAAGTTTATACCGATTAAGTGTACTTAATTCCACCTCACGTGTGCTGGGACCTTAGACATTTGGTGTGAGCAGGTTTCTTGCTTTTGGAGATTGTCTTAGATTTCACTGTATCTCACTTTTTTCATTTGAAAGTGTTGACCAACCAATATTACAAAGTTGGACATTGTAAGTAACATTGGGGGAAGAGACGTACATTTCCTTTCCTTTATCTACTTCCTGAAGGTACTAATATAGTCCCATAATATCTAGTTGCCTCCCATACATTGTGTTCAGTCTTTTTAGAATTCTTGAGAGAGAAGTACTACTGTTCCCTGTACACGGTCTGTGAATACTAACTCCAGGACCAGAAGCAAAGTGAATACACTGGTGCTATATACTGTACCTTTTCAACAGAGCTAATTAGGCCAGCATTGCAGTAAGGCAGGTGATGCTGCATCCATTTCCAAAGTGAATACACTTATCTGTTCGTGGCACTGTCTTGTACTGTGTGAACACCCTGAAGCCATTTCCTCTCATTTCTTGCATGGGAGAAACTGATGCTTGTTAAATAAATTGGTAAATTGCTTCTGTTTTTCAGCCTTAGATATGGTGGTAAAACAGAATGACTTGCTTTACCTTATTCTTTAACCCTTACTAGCTTGTCCTTGAAAACGTTACAATACCAGCAAAGACAGACAGCTTTCCTTAGTGTGGCAGGGAGATTCTATTTTTAAATGCTCTTAAGTAGCCAGTAATGATTCTCATGTATGAATGGATATATTTCAAATATAGTTGAACACCGTGATTTTTTTTTTTAATTGAGATTACTGTGCTAGTAGAATGAAATTAATTGCAGTAAAATGTCAGCAGGTATACTTTTAGCTCTTAGTATCCATACCCTGTTTTTATTTGGTTTAATTTTTTTTCTGTGCTGGTCGCGGCAGTAGTAGGAAACACTTTCTTAATGTTTTAAAATCAATGGCGTTTGGTACATTCTCCTTGTACTACGCTATGTAATAAGCATTGTGCTCGGCTATCGGAGCCATCTCTGTAATAGCAATGTGGCAACTGCATTCTTCGTGCAAGAGAAAGCAGCTTGAGCTCTCTTGGGAGGAAGATACTATGCGAGTGATACTTTTGATTGTTAAGCCTGTATGGAAATTTAATTCTGTTTCTCTTTTTTCAAATGAATTTTTCATATTAACTTTTTCCAAAGTCAGAGGTAATGCATTTTAATCTGGTTAAGTTATAATAGGAAATGTTATCAATTATTTTTTTAACAAAACATTGAGCAATAAGTTTGTGAAGTTCTTATACTCCACTCTATTTTCCAGCTTTAGTTCCTGATAGGGATGTAAGAGTCAGTGTGAAAGCCTTGGCTGTTAGCTGTGTTGGTGCAGCTGTTGCGCTCCATCCTGAATCTTTCTTCAGCAAGCTGTATAAGACACCCTTGGAAACTATGGGAGAAGAGTATGGTATGTGGAGTCTTGAATTCTAGGATTCTAGTTTTTATTAAAAAAAAAAAAAAAAAAAAAAAAAAAATTCTGAACATTTTAAAATACATCCTAGCTCTTAACTGTACTAAAGGACTGAAGTGACATAAATGCACTGGTCAGTATGCATGTACTTAACCTTTGTTGTGTTCCTCAACTACTGTCAGCACTGATGCTTTCATAAACTATTGCAGTTGAAGATCCCAAGTCTCTACTAAACACTATCTCCAACAACTGCTAGAAGCTGTGCACTCTGGAAGATCTTGGTGATCTCACTCATGGTTGAATTCTAGGACAGTTTAAGGGGGATTAGTTAAACCACTTCAGCTTCTCTGCAGCTGCCCTGGCATAGAACAAGTTAAAGTTGAAACAGCTATATAAATATGCTAGAAGTAGTCTAATTTAATAGTGGTAGATTGGTTGTTTGTAAAATACATATAGGCCATTAGATGTGGCTTCTGTACACAGTGTGCTAAGATATGACTGGTTTAATATTTCTATTATCATCAAGCCTGAGTTTGTGATCAGCATCTTGTTTTAGATCCCACCATTAGCACATCCAATATGAAGTCCTTGCATACAATGTATACATTTTCCCCCAAAGCTCAGCCCTTCAAAATTTGGCTGTGCATCTTAAACAAAGAGATGATTTTCTTCCACAGAATAGAATAGAAGCATGGAGATTGTGTTGTAATGACTGCCACTTCTATCCAGGTCAGCAAGCAGCAGAGCTAGAGTCTAGTGTTAATCCTTCATAGCTGCTGTCAAAATGGCAGTAGTTTCTGGGGTTTTTTTTGCTTAGTAGTCCACTGAGCTGGGCTGAGGGTGAGTGAGTTGCTATGTGCTGTCAGAACTCAGTCATGACTGAAAAAATCTTCTTTCTACATTCTGCATTCCAAAAATAACGTCAATGTCTTATTGGTGCATGTGGTATATGAGAAAATACAGTAAACTTTAAAGGATACAGGACTCTGGAAAATAGTGCTTCTGAAGTGACCTCAGGGGGCATGATTGAATTTATAACCATCTACCTGTGAACTCCCAATATCATTTGAATAGATGAACGAACGTTAGACAGATAAACTTATGAATAGACAGACTTTATAAAGAGTTAAAAGGTGGTAGTGTTTGCAGCAGCAATTTTTTTTCAAAAAGTGCTGCTTCTCTTCTTGGCTGGAGCTCATCAGTGGTCCTGCACAGTTGATTGGAGAAGCAGTGCTATTTGAAATAAAAGCTCCAGCAAACAGCTGGAACACCTCAGCAGTCCCACATAGCTATTTGCTGTCACTTTACATATCCCTGAATACATTGCAAACCTGGATCTTTGCAGGGGGTTAAGGAATTTATTTCTACAAAGAGTCTGTGTTCTACTATATAGGAGTATCTTTGGAGATGGAGAATGCTTACTGAATCCTACAAGAACATGAATTGGAACACTGTGGTCAGAAGGAACCAAAAAACATCTAGTCTGACTTCCCACAATACAGTGCATGGAACTGTCCATTAATTCATTAATTTCTGTGACAGTTTCTATAACTTCTGGCTGAATTGGGGCATGAACCCTCAGACAAGCTGTTGCAAACCAAATGAGCTAAATTCTTTCCTTTATGGTAACTTGTTTGTGTTGCCATATCCTGGGATTTACATTTTAGGAGAACAGCCATAATCTCAATGGAAAGATTCCAATTGATTGATTCATGAGTTGTCCCTCTATTATATTACGTGTCTTACGTGCTGTATTAGATACCGGTTCCCAGGTACCATTCTGGAACTGCTACTTTACTATGAATTTATAGAAAATACAATTTTTTTTGTTTTACCAAGCTTTGAGACCCTACTGTTTCAAGTGGCTTGATCAGTGTATTTTACTTGCATTGTACATAATGAAACATGCCAGATAAAGAAGGCTATTAGTTAAAGTGTTAGAACTAGTATTTTTAAAATAAAGTAGTTGTTGTAACTTATTTTCCCAGAAGAGCAGTACGTGTCAGATATTTTGAACTATATTGACCATGGAGATCCCCAAATTAGAGGAGCTACTGCCATTCTCTGTGGAACAATTGTCAACTCTATTCTCATTAAGTCACGCTTTGATGTGGAAAACTGGATAGCAGTTGTCAGAAGTTCAACAGGTAACAGTTGCTGTTTTGGGGGTTGTTTTGTTTCATAATCAAAACTTGCCTTTATTTCATTGTTGTTACTTTTTTGTTGTCAGGAAATCTCTTTTCTCTGGTAGACTGTATACCTCTGTTACAGAAAACGCTGAAAGATGAATCCTCGGTTACATGCAAACTGGCTTGTGCAGCTGTGAGGGTAAGTAGAATGATTACTTGCATTACCTTGCTGTCTGGGAGAGCTAGCCATATAGCTGCACTCCATTGTGCTCAGTGCCGTCCAGACATGGAACAAAAAGATAGTCACTAACTTTTAACATGCTTACCATATACAATGTGATGGATAAAGATAGATGGATAAGGGAATACAAGGAAGACAAGGTATCTGCTAGCATGATAAGCAGTTATCCACTCCCCAGTAGCCTATCCTAGAAATGATACGCAGTGAGTCCGTTGTGGAAATGGGGATAAAATCAAGGAATGACTCAAGCTGTGCATAGACATGCATTTGTAGTGCTACAAATGCATAACATGTTGAAGCAGCACAAAAATGTTGTGCTGCGAGGCAAAAACAGACATGCAGAGCCACCAGAGAGAGTTCTACAGAATCACTACAGAAGTGTTCAGCAGTGTGTTCTCCACCCACAGCATTATGTGGGGGGGAGATGGGAGTTACTCAGCTCGCAAGGGGAAGGGGAGCCTGTCATGAGTCTCCCATACCATTTGCCTGGGAAGGAAGAGGGTTGCTCCTCTGTTCCCTATGCCCCATCTTGATGACAGCTGAGTACCCAGGCAATACTCATTAACTCTCCACCCTGCTCCCCTTTCTACTTTGAGAGGGGAGGGAATAGAGCACTGGGATGCTGGGGAAACAAGAGACCCTGTACTACTATGGTCAGTGTCTTGTTCTGACTGTCTGAACAATGGTTTGCAATTGGGAGTATAATTAATGGCTTCTTCACTTTATAGATTGTCCTGTTAGGTGGTCCTTCAGATACTGTCTTGGTGAGGCTCAGGTTCTTTGCTGGATTTTGAAGACTTTAGAGGGATTTAATAGTTCTCTAGGGCTCTGAATTTAGGCTTCTTCAGAGTTTCATAGAAAATCAGAGTTGGAAGGAACCTCAGGAGGTCATCTAGTCCAACCTCCTGCTCCAAACAGGACCGACCCCAACTATCTCATCCCATACAAAAGTTTCTCAACTTTTGGTCTTTGTAATAGCCTTATTGTAGTGTTTTTGGGTGTTTAAGTGAACACAAAGTTAGTACAGAAAGGTTCTCAATCAGAATAGCAAAGTATAACTTTTAACAAGTGAAATATTTTCTCTCTAGCATTGCATTATGAGCTTATGCAGCGGCAGTTACAGTGAACTAGGCTTACAGTTGATCACCGACCTCCTTACACTGAGGAATAGTTCCTATTGGCTAGTAAGGACAGAACTCCTGGAAACTCTTGCTGAGATTGATTTCCGGTAAGCATGTATTATTTTTTCAATAGGCTGTGTTGTGACTGTATAGCAGGAGTGGGCAATTATTTTGGGTGGAGGGCCACTTACTGAGTTTTGGTAAGCTGTCAAGAGCTGCGTGGGTAGCCCCACCCCCTTACAAGTACCTTACCCCTGGTCACCATGTTGGGAACAGAAGTCCTGCCCCCAAACCTCTGACCATTGCCACCAGAAGTCCATCCCCTTGTCCCTGGAAGTACTCCTTTGGAGAAGAGGGTTTGCCATCTTAGGGGGAAAAAAACAAATTGCATGTTAAAAATCAAACACCTGTAATATATTTTAATTTAATTTAAAAAAAAAATTGTCCTGATATGTGTGCATTTGTGGTGTATGTGCAGAAGTGATTTTGTGCATGTCTGGGAGCCACATAGTGGATGGGGGCTGGCCTGTAGGCGGGCAGGGAAGTGGGAGCGTGGGGCCTGCACCAATGTCCTGGGGCCAGTGCTGGCGGGGCCCAGAGTGGGGCGGTAGGAATGTAGGGTGTGGGCTGGCAGGGGTCTGTGGAGCCAGGCTGGGCTGCACCAGCAGGGAGAGTGGGGTGCTGACTTGGCTCCATAGAGCCCCTCCTGCCAGGACCCTGCGCTCCTGCCACTCTGCTCTGGCCCCAGGACACCGGCATGGGCTCTGTGCTCCCACCTGGCTGCCACTGGGTCCTGCTTGTCTGCTCACTTCCAGTCCCCTCAACCCAGCTCTGCAGTATAGGTACATCTTTGACAGGAGCCAGGGGCAAATGGATATTAATTTTTCTAAATTGTTTTAGGGGCCCTGTGGGCCGGATGCAGCCTGCAGGCTTTATTTTGCCCACCCCTAGTGTATAGATTGTTACTTAGGAGAATCAACTCATGAATTGAGAATTCTAAATAATCTGAAGAAATAATGAACCTTTATGAAATAAACCTTTCACCTTGACCGGTCTAGAAAGCTTCTTGTAATTTCAGCATTATCAGGATTGGGTATAGCCAGTTTTTACATGCATGTTTTCAGTCGGCTAGGGTCTGACCAGAGTTGGGCAACTATTTTGGCTGAAGGGCCATTTAATGAGGTTTTGGTGTCCTTTTAAGGGCCCCTCCCTGCATACCTCTGCCCCCGGGAACCCACCCGGAGCTCTATCACACCCTAACCCGGAACCTGCCGGCCCTGTCTGCAGCTTATGTCACCACCCACCTGGCACAGTGGAAGCAGCACCAGCATTGACTGTGGCCATGGCCGGCAGGTTCTGCGTGGGAATCACGGTGTCTGCCCATGTCCATAACCAACGCTGCCACATCAGCACTGGACAGAAGCAGTCTCGCCTGCCCACCCAGCATGTTGGAAACTACCTTAACTGCCCAGCACCATGCAGTGGCCAAGGCTGGGTTTGCCCACGTGGCAGATCCCATGAGTTGGCACGCACCTGCCTGTGGGCTGGATCTGTTCTGCAGGCCATATTTTGCCCACCCCTGGGTTTAGGTTGATCATCACAATTCAAGATGCATTTATTTTGGTACAGCAGTGAGTGCCTATAAGTTGGAGGTGCTGCTCTTCTGTTGACTTTTCTCAAAGCACTGTCTGAAAGATAGAGAAGATAGTATGAAGCAGCATCTCCTACAGATGACTTTTAGGCATTTTCAGATCCTGACAACCAATCGGAGACCCCCCCACTATACCCAGTGAATTGTATTCCTCTACTGTCCCAGTGAGTCATGTTTCCATGTTGCTCACAAAACATGATGAAGCCTTACTTGTTTGGTACCAACCTAGGAGAGAGGCTGTAAGCCTCACTTGGATACATCTGAAGCAAAATAGGTGCTAATAGTCTATTGCTGTAGTGAGCTCTGCAGTGCCTCTGGTTTCTACTTAAATGTCAGGCCTGTCTCTGACATCATGTGTAACAGCATCAGATAACTCTAGTCATAGCAACAATGAAGAAACCTATGCCAGGCACATTGCTGTTGTCAGACTCGTAAAGAATCATAGAACATGAGGGTTGGAAGGGACCTCAGGAGGTCATCTAGTCCAACCGCCTGCTCAAAGCAGTGCCATCAGTAACCTCTAGCTCTTTACTATTTCTCTCTCAATGAGGCAACTAGTCTTCCTAAAACTACCCCTGAGCTAAAAGATTTTTAGGATCTGATGAGGTGATTAGATCCTTTTTTAATTGTGTACAGAGCAAAGTAGAGCCTCAAAGAGCATTGTCTGTTGCATTTATAACAACTGACATGCATAAAATTGATGAAAGGGTAAGAGAGGCCTTCAGAGAGACTGTTTAAATGTGTTTTAGACAGTATGTATACCTCTAGGTCGGGGTGGGTAAAATAATAGATCCAGCCAGCAGCCAGACTCTATTTCCCAGGAGCCCCTGCCTGTATGGCTGGGGCTAGCCTCCATGGAGACCCTAGCTGCAGCTCAGATGTGATAGCAAGGCTGGGACTGCCATGAAGACTGGCCCCAGCCGTGCTGGCAGGGTGTGTGGCAGGACAGGGGGCTGCTCCGGAGCTGCTGGGATCTTGCAGCAGGGGCAGCTTGGTTGGGGCCAGGGCAGAGCCACGATCTGCAAACTGCACGCTCTGGGCAGGGGCATACAGGCAGCAGATCGCGACTCTGCCTGGCTTGGGATGACCCTGTCACTGCTGCAAGGAGCCAGGGCAGAGTTGCGATCTGCTGCCTGCGCGCCCCTGCCCAGAGTGTGCAGGTTGCTGATCATGGCTCTGCCCTGGCCTCAACCAAGCTGTCTCCACCATAAGATCCTAGTGGCTCTGGAGCAGCCTCCTGCCCTGCCAGCATGGCTGGGTCTGGTCTCCATGGCAACCCCAGCCTTGCCAGCGCAGCTGTGGCTGGGGTCTCTATGAAGGCCGGCCCCAGCCATGTGGGCAGGGGCTGCTGGGAAATGGAGTCCACTCTGGCCAGATCCTCCCTATGGGCTGGACTTTTCCTGCCCCTGTTCTAGGTATTAGCAAAGAGGTGTGCTCCTCTCCCTCTCTCCCATTGTCTCTAGATGCCTCGGGTCTCATTCTGTTTAAGCCCAGACAATCTCTCCTGCCTCTTTGAATACCATCGTATTAACTGAGACGTAAAACAGTAATATGGAATTCAGTCTGTGCTTTTACCCCTTGCTATACCTTAATGTAGTGCAGCCCTCTGGTTTGATGCAAACTTTGGTAGGGTGGTCTAAGTAAGACTCCTCTTAGTTGTCAACATATTCTCTGCTTAAAGGCATGTTATCTGTTTGCCATGACTTGTCCTCTTAATTGGGAGTCTTACAATATGGAATTCTTCCTGAGCGAGGGAACTAAGAGGTGGTTGAGGCTATGCTATCCCTTTATGCCCCCAGCATAACCCCATAGAGCTGTGTGGACTTTTAGGACACAAGCATAATCCTAGAGGAATCAGAATTTGATCTGGCCTACATGGCATATTTGGAGGCTTACATGGGAATCTGTATGGCTAAACATACCTTTACAAAGCATACTTAGTGTGAGATAATTAACCATTTTGCTACTTTAGTCAGATCTTAGGTCATCATGCTGCAGGATTTAAACTCATTTCCATATATTTATTGCTTTTTGGAAAAGAGAAGCTAAGATATGCTAATTTTGACTTTTTCAGCTGAGTACTAAACATTTTAACTTTAGTAATTACTATGTAACAATTAAGAAAAATCATGACTTTGTTTAGAAATGTAGTTTGACTTTCCCCTTTTTTATCTTAAGGTTAGTCAGCTTTTTGGAAGGAAAAACAGATAATTTGCATAGAGGAGTTCATCATTATATTGGTGTAAGTAATATCTTTTGTGTAGTATATCAAAATACTATTTGGGGATTAAAATATTGTTTTAAAGAAGCATTTGTTTAGGTGCTTGAAGCCTGTTAAAGTTAATGGGGTTTATACACATGCTTTGCTGAATTATGTTTCATATTTTATTAATAGAGTAAATATTCTTTTCTTTGCCTACTGTGATATATAAACCATTTGTAGGTTGATTTACTTTAAAAAAACGTAGAATGTTTTATTTCACATAACTAAATAGTCATGAGTGTAGAAGCAAAATAGTCCGTTTTCTCACTAGTATGCACAAGGAAATGTAGTTTTACATTTTAGTATTTCACTGTGTTGGTTAGAGCAGTGCATTGTCATAACATATTTTCATTTTTGCTTATGCTGATTTATCTCTGTAGCTGTTGAAACTGCAGGATAGAGTGCTCAATAATGTTGTAATCTCTCTGCTTGGAGACGAAGACCCAAGGGTGCGACACATAGCTGCAGCTTCTTTAATGAGGTATAAATTTAATAATGCATTATCTAGTTGTAGGTACATAACAAATTAATGCTTAGCACTTACGGTACTTAACGCAGGAAGCAGTATTTTAAAAAATGCAAACGTGGCATCTGGAACTCAAAATCTGACACAATTTGGTGGTGCCTTACATTCTGTGATGCAGTTTTTCAAAGCAATACACAAACGTTTGGTTTTTTTGCAATACTCTTTGAAGTATGATGGTCTCTGCTGTACAGAAGAAGAAACTGATTGACCTTTGGAGATTGTGACTTGGCCAATGTAATTGAAGGAATTGGTGGGAGAGCTGAGACTCGGTCAGGAATTTTACTGCCTTTGGCCTTCAGGAATGAGCACAACCGTTCTGCCCAGACTGTTACAGTGATGTTTCTCTGCATGTTTAAAACTTCTGGACATTCGGTTTAAATTAATAAAACTTGTCCAAATGCATATTTGCTGTTACCGTAACAAGATGAAGGTGTTCTCCAGGTACAGATACTGAACAGTAAGCAAACAGTCAGTGGTTAGACCCCTGTTAGAATTTAAGCACTTTAGAAGGTTTTTAAGAATGTTGAACGCAGGGGACAGAGTTCTTGGGGTGTTCTGTTGCTGTATGGGAGATGCTTGGTGATTTAGTCTCCCCTCCCAGTTTTCCAGGATAGTGGCTGTTAGCACTTTTAAGAAGAAAATGGGAAGTATGTTGAATCTAGAAAAGTACTACCATTTAAGAAGAGCAGTTGTGTGCCTGTGTGGATGCTGCTGCCACCTTCTCCTTCCCCACAGCAACCTGATGTGGGTGCTCCAGATGTTGCACCTCACGGCCCCAGCCTCACCCTGAGTGCCCCCACGCATACCCATGCCATACTGTGCCTCGCTGTCCCCTGCAGCAGGCATAGAGTACAGAAGCTGGAGCAGGGAGGAGTAATCTGAAGACTCTATCTGCTATTGCAACCAAAGTGATGGGGAGAGTTGCAGCTGATGAGATCTTGGGGGTGGGGGGTTCAACTAACCTCTCCTAGGTTGCATGTGGCCCACAGGCTGTCAGTTGGACAGCCCTGTTGTAGTGGATTGTTTCTTTTTCTTTTTTTAAAATTCCCCCGTCTCCAGAGTGATTCCATTAGTAGTGCTGACTTGAACACTTGGGATCACGATTTGAATGTATAAGGCTAGGAATAAGATCAGAAAAATGAAAATTTTAAAGTGTCTGGTACAAAGAGAAGGGCCTGAAGGGCTAATGGGACTTCAGTCAATTTTGATTTTTAAGGATTGTCATAAATTTATATAAGCCTTCTGTCTAAATTGTACATACCTCATATAATTCTTGTAATACCTTCTTTTTTTAACATGTTGCTTACTGGATCTGTCGTCTTCTCTATTTAAGGCTTGTTCCAAAGCTGTTTTATAGCTGTGACCAAGGACAGGCTGATCCAGTAGTGGCAGTAGCAAGGGACCAAAGCAGTGTCTACCTGAAACTTCTGATGCATGAGACTCAGCCTCCATCTCACTTTGCAGTGAGCACTATCACCAGGTATGGTACATGGCTTACTTTGCCTGTAACTTGAGGCCAAAATTTTAAAAATTCTGTTCAATTTCAAGTTATGCTGGAAGTATTCAAATGCATATTTAGGCCCTAATCATGCACAGACTTAAGGATGTACTTAACTTGATGCACCGTGAGTAAGTGTCCTCACTTATTTCCAGCAAGTATTTTCAGAAATGGGGCTCTGTGGGCATCAAAATGAAAAAATGGCTATACTTTATGAGATAAGTACCTTCATTCTGAAGTTAACCAGAGCTTCTTATTCTTATTGCCTTTGAAAATAAACCTTTTTATATGGGATCCTAATGTTGGGGTCTATACTTTAAAATAGTTTTTCCTCTATATTAATAAAGCAGGTGAAATCCATGCCTTTGCTTGTATTCCCTTAAATTTAATTTAAAATGATTAAAACTTAACCCTATCAGTGTAATTATTATCTTTGTCAGCTGTGGTATCTGGTTACTTTTTGCACTTCATTCATTTTCTGATAATTAAATTAGACTAAACTGTTTAGCCAGTTGACCTTCTAGTTTACATATATAAACACAGTGCTGTTTTTGTGTTTAGATTTTCAATAATATAGGAAATAGGTAATTGTGGCAGGGGAGGGAGTAGCTATTTGTTTGTGTTTTTAATCTTTAAAAAACAAACAGCTATTCTCTCCCCTGCCACAATTTAGCCATTTCCTATATTATTCAAAATGTAAACCCCACACAGCCTTCCAAGTGGAAAAAGTGTATATTGGTTATTTCCACATGCAGCTTGAAAGATAATTGACTAAACTAGCCTAGTCTTGTGTGTTCTATTTCCCCCCCCCCATTGTACTGTGGGGGAAAAAGTGTAAAAGTATTATTTTTTGGTATTTCACAGGTACTTAAAATGGGACAATGCGCTTGTACATATATAGGGTTCCAGAATACAGGTTTCCCTTACTTTTATTCTGTACATGTGTTCCTGGAAAACAGTGCATAACTCAAATTCGCATAAAGGGACCCCACTCTACAGTATAACAAATAGGGATACGTTCCAAAACCATGACTACTGACCCCCAGACCCATTTCTACCACTTTTACAAAACTATTTTGGTACTCACCAACAGCAGACATTACACACAAGCATAGGGCACTGTCATAATGGGGATGGCAACTACAGAAACACTTGTCGCAGACAATGAGCAAGGAGCACAGATCCACCTTGGAGACTGTTTTAGCACACGTCACTCCCACAATGCAACGTACAGAGCTGCTGACTGTGGGCTTCTACCACACCTGTCGGATATGAGTGAATTTACCTTGCATATAATGAGTTTTTGGTATAAAAAGGGTCATCGCATAAGAGCAAATTTGCTCATACCTAACCCACATAAAGTGAGGAAACCCTCTAAAAGGCTTTGTTCTAAGAAAAATGCAACATCTGTTTTTGGTTCATTAAAATGTCACGCAACTTTCCTTTAACCTGTCATTCACTTTTAACAAAATATGATTTGTTTTTATAGTCCTCCATTTTAACTGTATGCCTCTTTAATTTCAGAACGTACAGAGGTTACAATATGCTGCAAAGTCCAACAGATGTCACTATGGAAAACAACCTTTCCAGGGTTGTCTCTGCAATTTCCCATGCATTGACAACATCAACTACAAGAGCGCTTACAGTGAGTAGTCTCCATAATATTTATAAATCCAATTTAAATTGGATTTGATACTTATTATTCTTGCCTGTCACTATTTCTATTAGTAGGTAGTGAAAATACTTTAAAGATGTAAGCGTTGCGTGTTTTGGTGCTGTCTTCTGCAGTGTTGACACAGACACTGATACTTTCCCAAATTCTTTCAGTTCGGCTGTTGTGAAGCTTTGTATCTTCTCTCCACAACATTTCCAGTCTGCACCTGGAGTGTAGGATGGCACTGTGGGTATGTTCCTTCATCAAGTATACAAGCTTCTAGAATTCATATTTACAAAAGCAGAGGACACTCGTTCAGGTATCAGAAGCCCTGCTTTAACTATTCGCTATTGAGACTCAGATAGCAGTTTTAAACATTTTAGACTGAAAGATCTAAAATGAAATTTGTGGCGGTCTGACACTATATCAGGTACTAGTATTTTCCATCATCTTCAGTACGCTTGTCCAAATTCTGTGGCTGATTTTAACTATTTGAATAAAAAAGAGAGAAAAGTGTTTTGCTCTGTGTGTTGGCTATTTCCATTTGGCAGAAAAAATTTTTCTTGAATGTCTTGAGCAATGCTGAACTTTTCTGGGGGGCTGGGTTGTTAAATGACATACCTTCGTTACCTTTTTCTAATAACTATTGCCTCGTGTCAGTTTTGTAAGTGATGTGCAAAGGAAATTCATGTTTGTCTGCTTGTATAACAGTAGGAATGGCAGATACATACATAACAAAAGGCAACTTTTGAAGGTAAGTCACTTAGATCATGGTAATAGTCAGTGAGGCATTGGTGAAACGCATACTCCTACCATTCGTATGGATAAAATGATTTTGAAAGTACCAAGAGTTCTGTTTGTCTTCAGGGCCCCTGCAATCCTTTAATCTTAAGATGTGAGTAACTGGTTAGACATGTCTTAAGTTGTAACCTGGCCACACATTAAAGCAATTCACGGTGTCATAGAACAAGGAATGAGTCACAAAGTTATTCCACAAAAAATATGTAATCACTTTGTGACACTGGTTCCTATTATGACATCAATTATATATTTGGCCAGGTGCGCACCTGTGGCTGGAAGCCCTGTCAGCTCATGGGGCTCCCAGTTGTGGGAGTACATTATGCACCCCTTCAACTAGGAGCCCCACTAGCTGTGGGGGTTCCCAGCTGTGGGAGCTTGCTACCTGCCAAGTCAGTGGGATCCCAGGTTCTTCCTACATTGGCAATAAGGTGTGAAGGGAACTGGTGCTTGATCCTACAATCAAGCCTCCTGCCATGTACTTGTGGTATGGAAGAAGTGTGATTTGTGTGGCTCATGCATCAGATCCCATTGCACTGTGACCTGCATACCTGGCAGGAGAAATCTACCTACTGTAACTGTGGCCTTGTTAATTCTTGTTTTGATCCTGTTCTTAAACTCTGTGCAGTTCCAGTTGTCCTGTAGAATCCTCTACTGCACATATTCAAATATAGCAGCAGATTTTTGTATGTTCTGTGGCAATGTACCACTGCTTTGTTTGGTAGGGGATATCTTTGTTTGTTCGAGCCTTCTAGGTCTTGAGTAGTAGGGCTGTGCAAAGCTTCGCTGGCTGCTTTGTTTTGACACTGTTTCGACTTGTTTCGAGCTCAAAACAGTGAAATCAAAACAAAGGGCTTCAGAACAGCCTTGACATGAAATGAGGGCAGTCAAAATGTTTTGCAAGTTTCAAAAAGTTGAGTTTCGAAGCACCATCTAGGTGGCGGGAGGCAGGGGAGAGCCAGGGCTGCGCTCTGAAAGGATCTGCAGCCCCATGTGGCTCAGCTCGGGGAGTGCAGTCATGGCTCTCCCAGCTTCCCACTGCCAGGTTGTGCTCCATGGGGCTGGTGGAGCCAATGGGAGCGTAGCGCCAGCTCTGCCTGCCTCCTGCTGCTGGGCTGCGCTTCCATCGGTCCACTAGCCCCATGGAGCTCATCCCGGTGATTGGAGGCGGGCACAGCTGGCTCTGCCTCCCGCACTGGGCTGAATTCCACGGGGCTGTGAGCTGCTGGGCACGAGCCTGGTGGAGGGAGGCGAAGCACAGTGCTGGGGCTACGCTCCGCCTCCCTCCACTGCTCTGCCTCCCTCCACTGGACTCAGTGCCCAGCGGCTTGCAGCCTGGTGGGGGGAGGCGGCGCACTGTGCCGGGGCTGTGCACTGCCTCCCTTCATTGGGCTCAGCGCCCAGTGGTTTCCAGCCCCATGGAACTGAGCCTGGTGGGGGGAAGCGGAGAGCGGTGCCACGGTTGTGCTGCTCCTCCCTTCACTGGGTTCAGCTACCAGTACCGGTTGGTCCCAGGTGGCAGCAGCAGCCTCTAGCCTGCACCCCCGGGAGGGCTACGGGACTCTGCTGAACTCCTGTGGGTGTGCAGGCCCCTGCTCTGCCTGTGATCACAGGAGGCTGCTCCTCCTCCAGTTTCGTGCTTCCCCATTATAGCCTATGGGCAAAACATCAAGACAGTGTTAGAACAGCAAAACTGGTTTGATGAAACGAAACAGTGCTTTCAAAACTAAACTAAACTTGAAACGCTGTTCCGTTGAAATGTTGAAACAGAAGTCAAAGTGGAACGGTGCTATTTTGCACAGCCCTATTGGGTAGTCGAATTTTCATGCCATCCTGGGCCAGAGCTTGTCACTAGGCTCCCTACCATAGACCACAAATCTGTCCATCTGTTGATTTCCCAACCCACCCCTCCAGAACTCAGACTCCTGTGCTTTCTTTACTGCTGATACATGACCGCTCTACTGCGATAGTAAGTACAGGTATAGAGCAGCAAGAACAGCTGCTGAGGAGGGTGCTTTGGAGAGGATGAGTGGCTTGGTGGAGCTCTCTGCCACTCAATCCTGCTTGCACATCAGGTCGGGTTGGATTGCCTTAGGCCAGATCCATCCTGTTTGCAGGCTGGATCCAAACCAGGGGTTGCTGATTTCTGTTCCAAGCATTATTACTTATTGCTCTTGGTTCTGCTGCCACTGGTCAGCCAAAAATATAATAAAGCCATTGCTGCCATCTGGTTGCATTTTGCAAATTCATGGGGGTTCTTTTCCTACTGTTTTCATGGGCCAAGAGATCTTGTTCACACGTTTCTTTGGTGCTAAGCACTTTGTTTCCTTATCTATGGAAATTGTGTTTTGTTTTGTTTTGTTTTGTTTTTTTTAATTTTCCTGCTTTCTTCTTCAGAGTCCTCCCCTCTCTCCCTCCCGCCTCCCCTACTTCAGCACCTGGCTGTCAAAGGGGAATCTTTGTCCCAGTTTCATTACTTATAAAATCTTTCCACTTCTTTGTCTGCCTAAAGCTGTGTTGTGAAGTCTCATGTTTTTTAAAGGACAGTTGCTGTTTTTTGTTCATCATTTGTTCTCTTTTCTCTCTGTGCTAGGCCCAATTTTACAGTATTATGAACAGCAGTCCAGCTGTCCAGCATCCCATGTGCTGCATCTGTATGCTGAAAAGCAATGCTTCATTGTACTATAATCTTGTCAAGTGAAGTAGGTTTAGACCTGAGTAGACCAGGAAATGGGGTTGGTGATTTTAATAAAGTGTGTCCTCCTTAGTCAAGGCCTGAACTTCTGGATGTCAGCCTCTACGTATTGGCTTCCTTGGTAGAGATCCCATATTTTGAAACACATTCAAGGTTTTCAGGGCTTTCTACAATTTACCCTGTTGTATATCTCCGCTCTTGTTTCCTTTACTCCACTCATCTTACTTGACTACTTTATCCATGTTATTGAAAGTTTCTGCCTAATCATGTCCTGCATAGGGCCATTTCTTTATTAGAGTTCTGCTTTGCTTCCTTTTTACGAAGGCTTTACAAGCTATTATTATCTGTCTAGATATATGAATTATATAAATACCAGGGTTAGTGGTTGATTCCAGGAAGGTATGACAGGATAGATCGCTATATGCCCCATTCATTTACTTTCCCTCTAAAGTAGTAGTAGTGGCCAACAAGTATGGCATGTCACAAGTTAAGCCCCCCTCTTTCTCAGGTGTCCCCAATTTCCTCCCCCCGCCATAGGCATACCTGATAGTTTGCATGGGATGGAGTAGCACTGTGTTATCTGCAGGTCTTTATGAGGTGGTGACACCTTTGCAACCCATTACCTCCTCAGGGCAGCTTGCATCCTTGGACCCTGCATGCCTGGGTCTGACTGCCCACAGAGGACCACTGGGGTCCCTGCTCACACCTCAATGGGCAGCCCCTCAAAGCAGCCTGTTCCCCCCTCAGTGGGCAGCAGGAACTCTTAATGGAGTTGACCCCGGTCTCACCAACAGGGCCTAGCTAGCCCTTTAAGGGCTGCTGTTCTTAGGGCGATTCCAGGTGACTCCATGGAGTGATGGGATGTGGTGTCCTCATGGCTGTCATGGAGTGCAGTGGGGCTGAGGGCTCCTTGTGGTGCACTGACGTTCGAACAACCAGTCCTAGTGTAACTGGGAGGTAACTGGAGAAGAGGGTTTTCCAAAGGATGGAACCGGCATGCACAGGATTGTATGAGGAGCTCCCCACTGTTTTTGGGGGCATTGCCCTCAGCTGGTGAGCAGCACTTAAAAAAATTGCTTAAAACAATTTCAGTAATAGAAAATATAAATGAAAATCTGTCTCAGATGGTATGCTGTGAATCTGACCTTTTTGGAGTACCTTTGCCAGTTGCAGTTCTCACAAACATACTTACAAGGGATCTCTGCTTAAGCAGCGAGTGGTGAGAGGGGGTCACGGGGAAGCCACCAGACCCTGCTGTGCCTGCAAGTCTGTATCGAAGCTGCAGCCAGGGAGCAGAGGGCAGGGGCCAGCCCTGCTGTGAAGCAGGAGCCCCATCCATCCCAGAGAGCATGCTGTGATGCTGGGGGACTCATTTAATTTAAACCAGCAAAGGGGTCTGGGACAGACATTGCATAAACTGGTTTGAGCCAAATCAGTTAAACCTGGTTGAATGTAGTATATCAGACTTATCTCAGACTGGTTTCAGCCATTTTCAAACTGGTTTATGTGCACTGAACATCTGTTCTGTTACAGGTTTAAACCAGTTTCTGATCACCTAAACTGGTTTATGTGCAACTTCTGTCCTTTGTAAACAACCGAAAAACACTATGAATAAATATTTTCCCAAATCAGGGGAAAACACATTAATTGCCAAGCCATTTGTGTGTTAACATTAGGGATTTCTTTGGTTTTGAACCAGGAGTGGCTTGCCAGATAGTAACACAATTTTGGGCAGTAGCCATGTACCTTTGTATTCCAAATTCCATCTCGCTCAGACAAAACCTTATGACAAAAGAATGGATGGGATGTTAAATATTATGCCCATGATTAGCATTTGCCAGCTTCTCTTGAGCAGTATGTGCACAGTGATATCACTTCTCTGGTCTCATCATTAATTTTTGCAGCAGTTTAGAAATCGCTGCTTATAGTTGTGAAGGGAACTGTCTGTACATGACAGTGTATTGTTTGTATTCTGAGACTACCCATAGCTCTTGGAGGATTTAGACAGCTGCATTGTCTAAAGATGCCATCAGCACTGGAGAATCTGCCCCATTCCTTTGCAGTTTGTGTATACCAACCAAGGCCTTGCAAGTACCATTCCCATGTACTTGACTTGGGACCTGCAGGGGCAAAGCACGACTCTGTTGCTGTTGTGCCTTCTAGGGCTTAGGGCTTACCCCCTCTGTAGTTTCAGTGTACAAACTACTGTTGCCCAAATAGTGTGCAGGAAATGGAACAGCAAGAGCCACTGGAAGATGTGGGTGTGGTGAAACATGAGCAAGAGGACTAGTGGGATAGGAATGGGAGCAAGCATGGAAATCTGCAACATAAACAATGGGTTTGGCAATATTGTAAGCAACTGAAAACCAATGTTACAACTATAAGCAACTAGGCAGCCTTTAATAGGGGCACTGCTAGCTTTGCTTATCATTTCCTTTTTGCAGCTTAGAGTGGGAGCATTTAGAGTCTTGAGTATCCATCCATGTCCTGTTTTATATAAATCATCTGCTCAGAGCTCTCTGTAACTGACTGGGAGGACTGTGGTCAGGCACCCAGCATAGATTGCTCAGTGCGGGCCAGTGATGGGGCTGGTCTTGCTCAGGGCTCCCTGGACTCAGAGTTTGTTATCAGGTCCTGGTCCAGGGCTGCTGGGCTAGGCTTAAACCAGGTTGTATTGCCACCGCTTGCTTGAGCGGTACAGCAATACCTTTAATGGGGTAGCTGTGCCAGCTGCAGCCCTGGGCTGCAGTGAAGATGGCAGGACTGAGTTCTGTTGTGGAGCAGCCAAGCAGGGTGAGGGGGGCCAGAATGGGCTCTGCTGCCCCAGTCCCTGCAGGCTTCCCAGTTAGGGCAGCAGGGCCCCAGAAAGCTGTACCATACTCTTCTGGCACCAGACTGCACTTTCTTCCCTCCCCTTTTTGCTTCTGCCTCCAGCCCCACTCCCTCATAAGTCCTGCCCTCTGTGCCCTGCTTGGCTGCTCTGTGATTTAACGTGGTGCTGCTGTACTCTAACATTTGCACTGCAGTCTGGAATGGGAGCTGGCACAGCTGCTGCATTAGAAGTATGGCATTGCTACTAGACCTTGCATGCCACTTACAACAGCTGCCCATGCCACATCTGGCACAGGTGCTGCAGGTTGGCCACCCCAGCTTTAAATCATTTAATACTGGCCACTGTCAGGGACAGGTTACTAGGCTAGATGGACTCTTGGCCTGACTGTATAGCATATACTATATGTTCAAGGCCACTTACCCTCCTCTTCTCTCCAGCCTCCTTTTGGGACATTCCTTCTGGTCTGATATTAACTTAGATTATACATTCTTTATTAACTTAGATTATACGTTCTTTGGGACAGGGATTAACTTTTTTTGTAAAGTGTCATGTGCATTTATGATGCTGTGCACAGTAAAATAAGAAAATGTAAGTCTTCTGCTTGTCATCTTTGATCCCATACCATCTGTTTCGCACCTATGCAGATCCTGCACTCCCTGTAATAATGGTCGTCTTGTTCAGTATCAAATAGTCCTGTCCATTATTAGATAGGGATTTAAGTACTGCGAGAGCTGCTGCATTTTGCCTTAGCCTTAGCCGTCCGCACACGCGCACGTGTATTAAACTATATCTATCCTGGAATGTTGCCATGGCGAAGGTAGAATGCAGCACACATAAAAATAGAAGAATATTTTGATTTGGAATGAAAGGCACTGTATAAATGTAGTATGCCACTGCTGGGAGCTCTTTCTAAAAAACTATTCAGAATAAATTTCTTTTTTAGAAGTTGAGTTCTAGTGGGTTAGGTTTAGTTAAATTAGATCTACAAGGCAAATCTGAGGTTTCCAGAAGAAGCTGTTTTTGAGAAGTTACAGGAAGTAAGATTTTTTTTTTTCCAGTTTTATTCTGAAAAATGTGGTGTCAGATTCTATTCCATCTATTAGATGTGTGAGTGGTCAGCTGCAGTGCTATTCCACCCTCTGAGTCTTTGAAAAATAACGTAAGTTGGGCGAGTCCTTGTTTTTTGAGAGTTCATCTTTAGGCTAAGGTGACTAAAAGTAGATTTGTTTAATGGCTTTTCAGGGACTCATGGGGCGCATCCAGACAAGCGTGGTCGTGCCCTGTGTGGCACTGGAAACTCGTTTGCAGCATCACATACCTCACAGTTGGGTGTTCTCTGCGCTGCAATGACTGCCTGACCATGAGCTGCTCTGTTTTTTTTGTTGTTATTGTTTGTTTTTTTTTCCTGAGGATTTTTTTTTTTTTTTTTTTTTGACCCCTGGATATCTGGGGGTCAAAAAAAAAACTGCAGAAAAAATAAACCGGAGCAGCGCATGCTTGGGCAGCATGTTCTGTTGAAAAGTGGAGCCGGGCCACCTGGAGCTGTGTTGTGGCTGTTGGCCAGGCTCCACCTAGCAGGATTGCTGCAGCTGCAGTGCTGGGCAGCCCCCAGGACCCCAGGTAAGGCTGCTGGAGCCAGCACAGTGCTGGTCCCAGCCTCCCATACTGCTCCTAGGCTAACTTGCCGCATGCTAAAGCACATGCGACATGGGAACCAAACGTCCATGCACATCTGGATGCACCCATAGGATAGAGTAAAATCAGAACCTGTGTAGTGGAAACATGCAAGTCTTAGCTCTTTGAATTTGTTAGCCTTATTCACATTCAACTTTGACAGATTTCTTTAGATAAACTGCTATTTGTGCTTTTGAAACTTGAAGGATGCTGAACCTTTTGATAACGTTATAGTGAGGCAAAATCTGGTTTGCAGTAATAACTGTCAAGGCAGTGGCGTTGCCATGCATCTCTGTATAAACCTGAAGTAATGAACAGATAAAAGTGTATGAGCTTAAATTTTGATGCATTTAAATCCATCTAGTTCTGTTGCTTTTTCTATTTCTAAACTAAATTAGTAAATCAATACATAAAATACATGACAGTTTTTCACCTTGGGAAGGCTTCATGATATTAAACCATTGTTTTGTGTTTTATAGTGGTTCGCTATAGAAGCATGCAGGATGAGCAAACCCTTATATAATATGGTTGTCTGTCAAAAGATAGCATTCATTGTTTTGCTATTTCTTGTAGTAGTAAGTAATGCTTTGAACAACCTCTTATTGATTGCATCACTGCTACCGTCTGGTAATTTTTGCTACAGATTGTTTTTCTTAATCCAAAATAGTAAAGACCCTATTTAAGCTAAACACTTACCAATAGTCTCAATTTAATAAGAAATAGGATTCTAACTGCAGACGTTAAGTAATTATTAGTTTGTAGCAACTGAAAATTTGCTGGGAAGATGCATTGTATGACCATTAATTTTAAATTTCTAGCATTTCCCAGATGAGTCCTTCAGAGGAATCTCGGAAGAG